ATATATATATATATATTATAAACTAATGATAATAAAAGCGACGCAGAAAAACACATTACGCAGAAAATTTGAATAATTTGCTCTAATCAAAATATGGAACATTATTACAAAAAGTAATTAGCGCTGAAGACGGAATTAATTACGTTATTAAGTATGGCGGAAAATTAGGCTAAAACCTGAGCGAAAATGTTGACGTGTCTTCAAGAGGCCATTGAGGCTACTCAAGGGCTCTTGATCCGAGAAACCGGAGCTCACTTTTTTTTTTTTATCGAGCGTGATTACCTCCCCGGTTCCCAGGCTTTCCCCTAAATCCTACGGGCTTAGGGCTTCCCCCGTGAATTGTCGAGCGTCGTCAATGAGATCTGATAAATGATTACATTTATATAGAAGCGGTAAATCCGTAGGGGTCATAAAGCGCCTTGGGAAATGAGAGATAATGAGGGTTAGATCCGAGGAAGTGGATGCCAGCTCTAATTTCTAGCATCGAAGCTGCTCGGAATCTGACTATCAGGCCACAGACACCATTGTGCAGAACCAGAGGCGTTTCTAGCTGATGGCGTCTCTGGTTCAGCCTATCAATCAGCCTTACAATTAGCCTATCAACCAGCCCACCTACCAGCCTACCAACCAGCCCACCAATTATCCTAAGAACCAGCCTACCTACCAGCCTACCAACCAGCATACCTAACAGCCTACCTACCAACCAGCCTACTACCCTACCAACCACCACCCACTAACTTCCCTCTCTCAGTACTCACCGTAGACCCCCGTAGTGACATGGTTGTAAGTGGTAGTGGGTTAGTAGTTTAAAGTGAGGTTGTGAAGTCGAGAGGACAGTGATGCAGGTTGGCACTGGCCCCTGAGGCAGTATCAGGTAGTCTCCTCGCTCCTGGTTCCTGCAGGTACACAGGTCACATCAGCCAGGTCAGCTGTTCACAAGGTCACTTGACTCATATCAACAACACAACAAGAATGATACATGTATCTAATTATTCGAATTAAGACTTGAAATAATGATGACACGTGTTAATTCTCATAAAAACAGATAATAAACTCATTACTAACAGCTAATAAAATATATTGTATTCCCCCCCCACAAAGGATGCAACTGTATTATGCTGTATGATGTATTATGGCTGTATTTGGTTGGTTGCCGTGTTATTATTAAGTCATCAGCGCCTCTGGGAAGCGCTAAATCCGTAAGAGTCATACAACCCCCCCCCCGCCATTTCCTCGGGGATATGTGAGGTAATAAGGTTTGATTCACGGAAGAGAAGGGTTGCTTACAGTCCTTGGATCAAGAGCCGCTCATCAGCATGAAGGATTATATATCTTCTAGGATACAAAAGAATGCACCTAGGGATGAACTTATGTAACTAGAAGAGTGCACCTATGTGACTGCACCTAGGAGAGTGCACCTATGTGACTGCACCTAGGAGAGTGCACCTATGTGACTGCACCTAGGAGATTGCACCTGTGTGACTGCAGCTATGTGACTGCACCTAAGAGTGCACATATGAGACTGCACCTAGGAGAGTGCATCTAGGGATATACACAAACGTTTCCGGGGTAATCAAGTGTACATTAAATTCCTGGTTGCCATGGTAACATCTGCTGTGAGAGGCATCATAAGAATGATTAATCTGCCTTTATCATTGTCAGTATGGTAGTGAGAGAGAATGATGAACATTCTCCCTATCTCACTCCCTCCTCGACCTTGCTGTCTCTGTCCCTACCTATTCCATCAACCTACCCGTTCTTAGTCAACCTCTTGTTTCTCTCGCTTATTTCTCTAACTTAAAACCGTCTAGCCTCACTCTCTATTTCTCTCTCTCTCTCTCTCTCTCTCTCTCTCTCTCTCTCTCTCTCACTCCTTGCCATCGTCAGGCTGCCGGACTGAGGATGGCAGAAAAGGCAGCAGATTACAGTGTCTGCAGACAACATTGATTAAAAAGACTTTCCTGTCATCCATTACCAATCTTGTCTGCTGCTGTCATTAACATCAGGAAGAGAACCATGGCTAACTACCCCAGTTAACACCTCCCTTAACTACCTGTCCTGACAACCTTTACATTAGTTACTACTCAGTTACGCGACTCAGATGGATTTTAATGAACGCTTATGTTCGGTAGCAGCGACTTGGTGTTCAACCCGTTGTTCAAAGATTTGCATTTTTCTCTCATTTAGTTAGCATAAAGTTTATTAACTTTCTGGGGGAGAGCAGGGGGATGGGGGAGCAGGGGGAGGATGGAGCAGGGGGAGGGAGGAGCAGGGGGAGGGAGGAGGTGTGTGTGGTGAATATAATTTAAGATTGTTAAACTCCACTTCTTGGGCCTACTTAGTGTTACTTTCGTGAGAAGCGGTAAACCCGTAGGAATCATACATCGCCTGGAGGAGGTGGGGGAATGAGAAGCGATCAGGTTCGATCCGAGTAAAGGAAGGATAGATCCAATTCCTTGGAGCAATAGCCCCCCCTCCTCCTCGGCATCGAGAGAGGAACTCGCTTCTTAAATTTGTTTATTGTATTTATCTATCTAAATTAGCTTCTAGAGTTCTGTTCTGTATAATTTTAATTATACTTATCATTATTGTTATTATTATTGAATAAAATATGACAATACCTGGGCAGGAAGACTTTATCAAAGAGTCGAACATTCGGCAACTCCTGAACCATTGTCAAGTCTCGAGTGAGGAGAGAAAAGCAGAGATTTTCAGGCAATATGATACGGGAGAGGAAAGAAAGGAATGGTGATAGTAGTAATAGTGCTAGTAATAGTAATCGTGTTAGTAATAGTAGTGGTAGAAGTAGTAAGTAGTGAAAGAAGAGGTGGTAGTGGTGAAGAGATGTAGTGGTGAAGGTCAGGCAGGACTACTGATGAGTGATGACAAGATTACAACACTGGACAGTGTACTGAGAGAGCCGAGCGTCTTGAGAGAGAGAGAGAGAGAGAAGAGAGAGAGAGAGATGAGAGAGAGAGAGAGAGAGAGAAGAGAAGAGAGAGAGGAGAGAGAGAGAGAGAGGAAGGAGAGAGGAGAAGAGAGAGGAGAGAGAGAGAGAGAGAGAGAGAGAGAGAGAGAGAGAGAGAGAGAGAGAGAAGAGGAAAAGAGAGAGAGAGAGAGAGAGAGAGAGAGGAAGAGAGAGAAGGAAAGAGAGAGAAGAGAGAGAGAGAGAGAGAGAGAGAGAGAGAGAGAGAGAGGAGAGAGAGAGAGAGAGAGAGAGAGAGAGGAAGAGAGAGAGAGAGAGAGAGAGAGAGAGAGAGAGAGAGAGAGAGAGAGAGAGAGAGAGAGAGAGAGAGAGAGAGAGAGAGAGAGAGAGCGAGCCAGCCAGCGCTAAGATTCATGCCAGAAACTTATGGACAAGATAAGCTTCAAGAAAACATATCTTTGAAGGCTGGACAGCTTTAAAAAGAGGACCAGTGAATGGGATAACTGATCTCTGCCATAAACTGAGACCATAGTTAGTACAGGCAAGCCTAACACTTCCTGTGTGTTCCTGAAGAGGCTGACCAGCATCACCAAAGCATAAGAGAGAACAAGAGAACCATCAACTGGAGTAAACACTGGAAGTATCAATAACAAGAAAAGTGTCAACTAATTTACTACAATGGGTAATATTATAATAAAAACAGCGCTATTAATTTGACGTAAAGATTGATGTCTAAAGGACGAATAACGTCATTTTTTTAAAATCTGCATCTACTGTGACTTGACAATGGTCTGGGAGAGACCGAAACCTCGTCTGAAGTTTGCTCTCTCAAGTCCAAGTTATTGGTAAATTATTATATATAATTATTATTATTACCTTGGATTAACATCAATGGGGGTGACAATAAATACCGAATAAAACTTAGCTTTTATTGGTCACACGGCTCTCTACAACAGAAGCAACGGCTATGCTAGTTAACAGAGAAACAACGGTTGCCAAATGCTTACAGAAATACAACGGTAGCATTGTTAAACAACGGCTGATAACCAAACGCAACACATTACAATATAACTCTGACGTCTGTATCTCGTAATATACAAGTTTTCAATAAATTTTATTGGCAGCGCTTTCTTTATTCTCCTGGTAAACAGGGAATCAGGCAAAATAAAACCATTGTTACCTTTAAAAAGACTAATAAAAAATAACTATTTAAATAATGTAATATATACATTAAAATATTACTTTTAGACATAAGTATTCGGAGTATTTTTTAAACCATTCCTTTATGTATATATAATCTTGGCGGTTATTCACTTAAAAAGTACAAAGGTATATACATGTTATTCACTGTACTGCAGTTATTCACGTATAATTACCTCGTGTAATTTATATAATTATATAATCGAATATAGCTGGAATACAGAGAGGAAGTTAATATTATATTACCCCCCCCCCTCGGTCTGTGGGTCCATGACCGAGAGGCCACAGACCGAGCTAGTGTTCCCGGGCTGCGTTTAGGGGGAGCGGGCGGGGAATGAGGAGCGCTAAACCCTCATGGGTGGGAGTTCTTGACAGTGTCATGGTTATCTATGTCCTAGCAATACCCCGTCACACTACCTGGGCATAGCAGGCAGGATATAGCCAGGTAGCTAAACACTTGCGCAGCTTTATGTACTGTTCGACTCTCATAACGTCACGCATTATACACACACACACACACACACACACACACACACACAACACACACACACACACACACACACACACACACACACACACACACACACACACACACACACATTCAGTCTATATAAAAATGTAATTTTCTGTAGCAATTTTTATTTCTTTCTGTAAATTCCTTTTTATGGGTTGTGCGTTGTTACGTTTTCCTGATGCCACAGGACAAGGTACCTGTGCAGGTACCTGTGTAGGTACCTGTGTAGGTACCTGTGTAGGTACCTGTGTAGGTACCTGTGTAGGTACCTCTGTAGGTACCTCTGTATGTACCTGTGTAGGTACCTCTGTAGGTACCTGTACAGGTACTTGTGTAGGTATATAAGATACAGTTTAAGATTTATAACTGAATTTCTGCTAAAACTGATTGCAATTTGGGAATGAGGACCCCGACATTGAAGGGTGTGTGTGTGTGTGTGTGTGTGTGTTTCTGTATGTGCACATGTGTGCGTGTGTTTAGGTCTCTGGTAAGGATGAATATGATGCTTCGAGGGCTGGGTTAAAGTAGCAAGCTGACAGAGTTGGAGTAGTGGTCTCTCCAGCATCACCTCCAACACCCGTAACCACTCTACCGCCCATGTCAACACCTCCATCTCTTCCTCCAACACCTGTGTGAGCCCCTTCAACAACACCTGTGGGTGTTCCTTCCACACTTGTCTGGTTCCTTTCACCAATACCTGCACCACTACCACCTGGTCGTCTGGTCGTGAAGGAAGGAGTCAGTGTCCACGACAGAGCTCTCATTTTCCGTCTCCTCTCCCTGCAAAAATTTCTGCGGCTTACTAAGAGCTCAATAAGAAGACTTTAACTGAGAGAAAGTGAGACAGGTATAGACAGCAGTGAGAAAAGCGCGCGCACACACACACACACACACTCCTTTGCTTTCAGAAGCATCTCAAGTGTGACAGAGCATGCCGTGTCCTGGTAGCAATTTATGGTTGCGTGTGTTACATTATCTTTGGAAATATAATGGTTGTAATTATGAAACCACCGGCTACCACCAAGAAACCATAGCTACCACTATCACCAGCATTATATAGCTATTACCACTACTAGTGGTAATCATGCAACGAGTGGGATTTGAACTATGGCAAATGCGTTAAAGTTCACAAGCCAGTGTGCTAACCACTTGGCCAGCTACTACTGCTGTCTTTGCTACTTTAATTACTACGACACAAAGTTTATGGCTACCGCTGACATGACCACCATAACGGCTATAAATAATACTACTAGCTGCTACCAGTACTACAACTATTACCACCATAACTACCACCATTTCTGCTACTGACTGCAGTCATGGTTACTACCAACATTCCTGTTACAACTTTCATTAATGCGACTTGCGAAATAATGATAAATACTACCATTACTTATTATCACTACCATAACTAGAGTTACTGTTACTACCACAATTACCTACTAGAAGATTATTTATAACCCGTTATTACTTTTAATACAAGTTTTGTACATATTACTAGTAATATTACCAGACAATACTGCCAGAGAGAGAGAGAGAGAGAGAGACGTCATTTACAGAGTGGTGTCACTGGACCGTAGTGTCGTGTAGAGACATTAAGAGAATTACACTAGTAACGCCTGAACTATATATCAGAGGAGCGGTATTGTGAGAGGGAGATTGATGAGAGAGAGAGAGAGAGAGAGAGAGAGAGGGAGAGAGATTGAGAGAGAGAGAGAGAGAGAGAGAGAGAAGAGAGGAGAGAGAGAATTGAAGAGCAAATATAAATAATGGAAGATAATATAAATTTTAAATTTGGAAAAACATATTAGCATTGGTGTAAATATAACTTTAAGGACATTACTAAATTCACAGGAGAGCTAAACCCATAGGAGTCACGTATAGTGTTAAGCACAGTGATTGCCAACAGTGAGTATTTACCCTGGTAAGCATATTACATACAGTGAGTATATATGTGGCTACAAAGACACATAACGTGGACACAGTGCAGAAATTTACACAAAATTTAATTATTAAGGTCACGTTTAATGGGAAGGTTGCAGCCCTGCGACCTTGTGTCACTCCAAATATATATGAAGGTGAGACAACAAGAGTATATTGTCTGGAAAAATGAGATTTGTGTGATCACACGTGATTTTCATACCAAGAACATCCCACAGATTACCTCGGAGCTCCACAGCAGTAGCAGCAGAGCAGACAGATGAAGAGTGACTTTGAACTCCAGCGACAAAGATCACTATATACACATCTTGTTGAACTACTCCATTTATCAGTTCATCATGAATATACATATTCATAATAACACTAAAATGTTTATCTAGAAAATCTTAATTATCTTGCTGAAATCTGAACAAGGCAGGAAACTAACGAAGCTTGTTCCAGTACAACCTGAACCTACCAGCATGTACAGACTACACAAAATATACAAACAACGAACTTCTCCTACCTGTCACTGCAGATATAGGAAGTGTTACCACACCGACTTGTATCGAGCCTACACACTGACAACACTCGGGAGACACCCATCATATATCGTCCACATCAACATAAGAACATAAGAAAGGAGGAACACTACAGCAGGCCTGTTGGCCCATACTAGGCAGGTCCTTTACAAATCATCCCAATAACAAACATTTGACCAACCCAATTTTCAATGCCACCCAAGAAACAAGCTCCGATGTGCAAGACCCACTCAAATCCAACCCTTCCCACTTATGTACTTATCCAACCTAAATTTGAAACTACCCAAAGTCCTAGCCTCAATAACCCAACTAGGTAGACTGTTCCACTCATCAACTACCCTATTTCCAAACCAATACTTTCCTATGTCCTTTCTAAATCTTTCTAAATCTAAACTTATCTAATGTAAATCCATTACTGCGGGTTCTCTCTTGGAGAGACATCCTCAAGACCTTGTTAATATCCCGAATAAATTCGTGGCCTTCTGACGTTACTTTCGTCTTCACGAACATACTTTAATGTAGGATTGACAGTGACACTACTCTCCCTCTCCCACTCCAGGATTTTATACTACTTGATCTATGAAGAAATTGAACTTTTTACATGTGAATGCGTGCGTTTTTAACCATGCTTTAGATTAACAATGGGGAAATTGGTGTTAGCCAACATTTACATGGAGAATGTGCAGACATTAGGGAGCCAGTCCTTCATTCCCAGTACAGTAACATGACAATGGTAAGTAAGCAATAATATTCCCAGTGAGATTGAACATGCACAACCTCCTCTATCACATCAACACAGAAGACAGGCATTTGTCTGGCAGAATTAATGAACACAAAAATCATTGCAATATGGACGATCTGAGCAACGCTTGAGAGTTTCACAGGAACACTGAGGATCATCTGATGACCTTCAAATTACTCATCATCTCCACACATCGCCACCACACAAGCGGCTGTTTGGAAGCTTGTCTTAATTGCAACAACACTCACACAAACAGCGGGAAATTAGTATTACCGAGACTCTGGGACGTGCGGTGACCAAACAAGTTTACCCTGACTGCCACAGCATACTGATGGCACCAGATATCACTTCTTAGGGATCCTTCCCTCACTAAACTCCAGGTGTTTTTTATATTCACCTACACTTGAGTGACCTGGTCCCAGGATCGAAATGTTTCCTATTTTGTAATGTTAACCACTGTACTTAAAGTGTACTGAGAGCTACAGAATAATATCCACTGAACCTCTCTCTAACTGCTTATCTCTATTCCTTCCTTCCATTCACCCTTTCTACTTACTTACATCCCTAATTCCTCCCTTTCCCTCCCAATACCCATCTTCTCCCTTCATTCTAACCCCTTCCCACCCATCTTCCTCCTCCGCTTTCCCATCCTATTCTCCCTCTCCTTCCCTAGTCACCCTTTTCCTTCATTCTTCCCTCCCTCCCTCTACTCACCTCCTCCTCTCCATCCACTGCATACAGATGACAGCAACGATGATAATGAAGAAGAAAGTGAAGATACAGAGTATCATCATCCAGACTGTCATATCCAGTACGTGTGACTCGTGTGCCAGTCTATCAGCATCACTCACGGTGTCACCTGAGGTCACCTGGGGGTCACCCGGGGTCATCTGGCTCCCTCCTAACCTCTCGCTCACCTCCGAGGTCACGTTCATAGTTGCCGCAAACCTGAGGTCAAGCCACCTCAGGTCAAGTCAAGTTGGATGTCTGGCTGAGCTGGTTCATACGTCTGGTAGGCAAAGTAAAATAATTTAATATCGTTCATTTAAGAATCACGGTAGTAATGTTATTTTTATTTAATATATTCCTCGAAGTTAAATTACCCAAAATATCATTTGTCGCCTCTAAGTTTTGACTTTTGTTAATAAAAGACCTCAAATATGCATTTATCAAAATGAAATAGGTGGTTCCTGTCTACCAATAAAATATTAATTATTGCAAAGAGCATTCCCCTCAGTTGGAGAGGATGAATGATTGATTAGCGACATTTTACATCACTGACTGATTGTTTGCAGGTGTGTACGACATTACCAGAGTTACTGAACACTGAGCAACATGTGTGTACGACATTACCAGAGTTACTGAACACTGAGCAACATGTGTGTACGACATTACCAGAGTTACTGAACACTGAGCACACTGTGTGTACGACATTACCAGAGTTACTGAACACTGAGCAGCAGGTGTGTACGACATTACCAGAGTTACTGAACACTGAGCAGCAGGTGTGTACGACATTACCAGAGTTACTGAACACTGAGCAACATGTGTGTACGACATTACCAGAGTTACTGAACACTGAGCAGCAGGTGTGTACGACATTACCAGAGTTACTGAACACTGAGCAGCATGTGTGTACGACATTACCAGAGTTACTGAACACTGAGCAACATGTGTGTACGACATTACCAGAGTTACTGAACACTGAGCAACATGTGTGTACGACATTACCAGAGTTACTGAACACTGAGCACAGGTGTGTACGACATTACCAGAGTTACTGAACACTGAGCAACAGGTGTGTACGACATTACCAGAGTTACTGAACACTGAGCAGCATGTGTGACTGCTGGGAGCACACATGTGTGACTGCTGGGAGCACACATGTGTGACTGCTGGGAGCAACATGTGACTGCTGGGAGCAACATGCGTGACTGCTGGGAGCAACATGCGTGACTGCTGGGAGCAACATGCGTGACTGCTGGGAGCAACATGTGTGACTGCTGGGAGCACACGTGTGGACTGCTGGGAGCACAGTGTTGACTGCTGGGAGCACACTGTGTGACTGCTGGGAGCACTGTGTGACTGCTGGGAGCAACATGTGTGACTGCTGGGAGCAACATGTGTGACTGCTGGGAGCACACTGTGTGACTGCTGGGAGCAACATGTGTTGACTGCTGGGAGCAACATGCGTGTGACTGCTGGAGCAACTGTGTGACTGCTGGGAGCAACAGTGGCTGGAACTGGGCTGGGAGCAACGTGTGTGACTGCTGGGAGCAACTGTGTGACTGCTGGGGAGCACACGTGTGTGACTGCTGGGAGCACACGTGTGTGACTGCTGGGAGCACACGTGTGTGACTGCTGGGAGCACACGTGTGTGACTGCTGGGAGCACACGTGTGTGACTGCTGGGAGCAACATGTGGGGACTGCTGGGAGCAACATGTGTGACTGCTGGGAGCAACATGTGTGACTGCTGGGAGCAACATGTGTGACTGCTGGGAGCACACATGTGTGACTGCTGGGAGCACACATGTGTGACTGCTGGGAGCACACATGTGTGACTGCTGGGAGCACACATGTGTGACTGCTGGGAGCAACATGTGTGACTGCTGGGAGCAACATGTGTGACTGCTGGGAGCAACATGTGTGACTGCTGGGAGCAACATGTGTGACTGCTGGGAGCAACATGTGTGACTGCTGGGAGCAACATGTGTGACTGCTGGGAGCACACATTGTGACAGCAGGGAAAAAATGTGTGACTGCTGAGCAAATGTGTACGCTGGGAGCACATGGTGTGGACTGCTGGAGCAACATGTGTGACTGCTGGGAGCAACATGTGTGACTGCTGGGAGCAAATGTGTGATGCTGGGAGCAACTGTGTGACTGCTGGGAGACTCACCAAGGCAAGAAAAATAATTATGAGGTTAAAGTAGTACGATAAGGCATGTTCGATATGTGGGTTATTGATGTGTGTGTTGTATGTGTGTATGTGTGTGTTGTGTGTGTATGTGTTGTGTGTGTGTATGTGTGTGTGTGTGTGTATGTATGTGGTGTATGATGTGTATGTGTGTATGTGTGTGTGTTGTTGTGTGTTGTGTGTGTGTGTGTGTGTGTGTGTGTGCGCGCGCGCGCGCACAGACATACACGCCTCTCACTGTATATTTGGGGATTTAGTCAAGTCCTTTTACACACACACACACACACACACACACACACACACACACACATTCGATCAGGACCCCTTAACACCGTAACGTCAGGCCCAATTGGAGAATGCGGCACCAGTTTGGAACCCACACCTAGCCAAGCACGTGAAGAAACTAGAGAAAGTGCAAAGGTTTGCAACAAAGACTAGTCCCAGAGCTAAGAGGTATGTCCTACGAGGAGAGGTTAAGGGAAATCAACCTGACGACACTGGAGGACAGGAGAGATAAGGGGGACATGATAACGACATACAAAATACTGAGAGGAATTGACAAGGTGGACAAAGACAGGATGTTCCAGAGATTGGACACGTAACAAGGGGACACAGTTGGAAGCTGAAGACACAGATGAATCACAGGGATGTTAGGAAGTATTTCTTCAGCCACAGAGTAGTCAGTAAGTGGAATAGTTTGGGAAGCGATGTAGTGGAGGCAGGATCCATACATAGCTTTAAGCAGAGGTATGATAAAGCTCACGGCTCAGGGAGAGTGACCTAGTAGCGATCAGTGAAGAGGCGGGGCCAGGAGCTCGGACTCGACCCCCGCAACCTCAACTAGGTGAGTACAACTAGGTGAGTACACACACACACACACACACACACACACACACACACACACACACACACACATATACACACACACACACACACATACAGACACACACACACACACACACACAGACACACACACACACACACACACCCTCACACACACACATACACACACACACACACACATACAGACACACACACACACACACACACACACACACACACACAGCTATGAAAGCACGAGCAGCAAGAGTAAAGAAACTGGCCAATATGTCTTGGAGTAGCGAGAGTGAGACTGACAACTGTTGATTAATCAGACGGTTTATATTTACTGCCAGTTGTACCGAGTGAAACACTAGAGGAAAATGTATTAAAGGCGACGTTATACACTGATGCATTACGTAATATAAGCCGGAACACTGGATACCTAGAACACTAAGATACCTGTGAGAAGACCAGAGAATATGGACTACAGCTAGAATACACTTACTAACTAATCATGACAACTTAGACTCGCTCAAGTGCACTCATCCTAACACCACAATACTCACAGAATATACTTCTCCAAGTTCGTGTTTTACATTGTATATGTAATGAGTTTAATTCGTTTTTTAGGTAATAAATTATTCTTGACTGGTGGTGAATATATGACGTGCATACTTAATGACCCTCGTGTAATAGATAGGCTTTAAGTCTCATTACCCAACCAACCAACCATCACACTACACACTTAAAGATTATTAAAACACTGTATATACTGACAAGTGTGCAGGCATCACCCTACATACCACCAAAAACACTGACACAAGCTACATACCGTCAGAAGTGGGCATTGTTTCTTACCTCAGGAACACCTGTTAGATCACTGACGTGGTCTGGCGACCACTTGCTGGGTTACTGACATGTCTGGGGGATGAACTTGTGTTCTCTTCATGCTTCCACACGAAATTAAATGTTTCTCTTGAGCCAACAGGGCCAGAGGAAGAATACGCCACGATGTTATGGAAAAACGCCAAAGTTCTTACTAAGGCTCCACCACACCACCATGTGTGTGTGTGTGTGGTGTTGTGTACACCTGCTCAGTTGCTAGTAAGCTTTTTGTTATTTAAATCACCTCCTTGAATTCTAGTAAGTGCTGTCTCTCACTGATCTGTCTCATGTCTCTCTCGCGCTTACCGTCCCACGTCTACAGTACCCATCACGCTCTGCTAATTGTCTTGTCAGTCTTACTGTACACTCACCTCTTCTCTACTCCACTCACTAGTCACACACTACCCACATTCTTAAACGGACTATCACCATCCACGTCAGTCACCACATGTATCGCAACTAAGAACGAGTAAAGAATCTGGCACTAGTCTTGTTCTCACTGTTCTGACTACACTGTCAATCTAACACCTGTTTATACTGTTTACTGTCTCGTCTTCCATGCTCTGTGTAATGTATTACTGCGTCTTACTGTCTCTCACTGATCTTACTATTACTGCGTACTCTATACCTGTCATTACTGTTCTGCCCAACCACAGTATGGCTACACTAGTCTCACTTACTAACATTCATACACTGATCTCTGCTCTGTCACTCTCCTATCCCAAACATCATCCACGCATTACTTCACGTTCTCTGTTCTCTACTCATCCTGTATCACTGTCTGCGTCTTACTTCGTCTCATTGTTCACAATAGTCTCTCTACTGATCAATCTATACTGTCTTCACCTCGCTGTCTAATTGTCTTACAGTCTCGTCATCCCAACTGTCATGACTACACTGTCTGTCTCCTGGTCTATACGACAATGTCATCATCACGTCTACATGCTCTCTCCACATGTCATACCTAAAGTTCAATGTGGCTTCTCTGTCTTACTATTAAGCAACATGTACTAGACACTGAACTGTCGGTACTCAAGACTTGGTACTACATGTCTCTCATCGAACATGTCTTACATCTCTCACTGTCCTTCTAACCCACTATACTAAGTTTTCTCATGTCTGTTCGTGTATTACTGTCTTACTGTCCTGTCTTCATACTAATTTCTGCTGAGTGACGGTCTCTGTCCTCGTGTTTACTACAAGTCTCATTACTACACTATCACATCACACAGTCTTCTCACTGTCTGACTACAATGTCAGTGTCATCACCCTATTCGTTCGCTGTCTCACTGTCTCCACTGACAATTGAACATAATTACTCCAATAACAGCAGTACTACATGCAGACTGCTGTTAAATCATCTGACAGTGTCTATACTGTGTTCATGATTTCTATCCAAGTGATAACTCTAGTGTTCCATGAACATCCATGTATATTTGTTCCACTGCTTACTAAGTGTTCTTGTTCATCACAGTGTTTCATCTGTTACGCTTCCATCACAAGTTTAAGTGTTCATCTCACAGTACTTCATCTATGTCACTATCTCTCCAACAATGTAGTGATCATAGTGTTTCCTCAGTGTTCATGTCTCCATCAACAAGTGTTCATGTGTGTAAGTGTTCACTGCTCGTTTCTCAAAAGTTTGTTCATGTTCTAAATCAGCTCTGTTCATGTGTTCTCATCAACTAGTCTCGTTCATGTTGTCTCGCATCTACTAGTGTCTCATGCACTGTCTCTCTCATGTCTGTCATCTGTCTCCATCGACGTCTTATTGTTCTCTCAACAAGTGTCTGTGTCTCTCTCACAGTGTTAAGTGTCTACTGTCTCAAGTGTTTCTGTCCCTGTCTCATCAACATGTGTTCATGTCGTTTCACATCTCAGTGCTTCACTGTTTTCCATCACTGTTCTTGCTGCTTCATCACAGTGTTCTGTTCTCTCACTGTCTCTGTCTCACTGTCTTCTCAACTGTCTTACTGTCTCTCACTGTCTCTGTCTCTCTCACTGTCTCTGTCTCACTGTCTCTCTCGCTGTCTTACTGTCTCTCACTGTCTCTGTCTCTCTCACTGTCTCTGTCTCACTGTGTCTCGCTGTCTTACTCTCAGTCCTCTCTCAGCATGTTCTGTTCATGTCAACAAGTGTTCATTTGTTCCCATGCAATAGTGTTCATGTGTTCATTTCCATCAAGCTGTTCATGTGTTCCATTCAACAAGTGTTCATGTGTTCCATTCAAGTGTTCATGTGTTCCATCAACAAGTGTTCATGTGTTCCATCAACAAGTGTTCATGTGTTCCATCAAGTGTTCATGTGTTCCATCAACAAGTGTTCATGTGTTCCATCAAGTGTTCATGTGTTCCATCAACAAGTGTTCATGTGTTCCATCAACAAGTGTTCATGTGTTCCATCAAGTGTTCATGTGTTCCATCATCAAGTGTTCATGTGTTCCACATCAAGTGTTCATGTGTTCCATCAACAAGTGTTCATGTGTTCCACCATCAAGTGTTCATGTGTTCCATCAACAAGTGTTCATGTGTTCCATCAACAAGTGTTCATGTGTTCCATCAACAAGTGTTCATGTGTTCCATCAACAAGTGTTCATGTGTTCCATCAACAAGTGTTCATGTGTTCCATCAACAAGTGTTCATGTGTTCCATCAAGTGTTCATGTGTTCCATCAAGTGTTCATGTGTTCCATCATCAAGTGTTCATGTGTTCCATCAACAAGTGTTCATGTGTTCCATCAACAAGTGTTCATGTGTTCCATCAACAAGTGTTCATGTGTTCCACCATCAAGTGTTCATGTGTTCCATCAACAAGTGTTCATGTGTTCCATCAAGTGTTCATGTGTTCCATCAAGTGTTCATGTGTTCCATCAAGTGTTCATGTGTTCCATCAACAAGTGTTCATGTGTTCCATCAACAAGTGTTCATGTGTTCCATCAACAAGTGTTCATGTGTTCCATCAAGTGTTCATGTGTTCCATCAACAAGTGTTCATGTGTTCCATCAACAAGTGTTCATGTGTTCCATCAACAAGTGTTCATGTGTTCCATCAACAAGTGTTCATGTGTTCCATCAACAAGTGTTCATGTGTTCCATCAACAAGTGTTCATGTGTTCCATCAACAAGTGTTCATGTGTTCCATCAACAAGTGTTCATGTGTTCCATAACAAGTGTTCATGTGTTCCATCACAAGTGTTCATGTGTTCCATCAAACAAGTGTTCATGTGTTTCCATCAACAAGTGTTCATGTGTTCCATCAACAAGTGTTCATGTGTGTTCCATCAACAAGTGTTCATGTGTTCCATCAAAGTGTTCATGTGTTCCATCAACAAGTGTTCATGTGTTCCATCAACAAGTGTTCATGTGTTCCATCAACAAGTGTTCATGTGTTCCATCAACAAGTGTTCATGTGTTCCATCAACAAGTGTTCAGTGTTTCCATCAAGTGTTTCAGTGTTCTTTCCATCAACAGTGTTCATGTGTTCCATCAACAAGTGTTCATGTGTTCCATCAAAGTGTTCATGTGTTCCATCACAAGTGTTCATGTGTTCCATCAAAGTGTTCATGTGTTCCATCAACAAGTGTTCATGTGTTCCATCACAGTGTTCATGTGTTCCATCATACAAGTGTTCATGTGTTCCATCACAAGTGTTCATGTGTTCCATCATCAAGTGTTCTTGTGTTCCATCAAGTGTTCTTGTGTTCCATCATCAAGTGTTCTTGTGTTCCATCAAGTGTTCTTGTGTTCCATCAAGTGTTCATGTGTTCCATCAACAAGTGTTCATGTGTTCCATCAACAAGTGTTCATGTGTTTCCATTCACAATGCTGTTCATAGTGTTCGTCATCAAAGTGTTCATGTGTTCCATCAAGTGTTCTTGTTCCATCACAAGTGTTCTTGTGTTTCACATCAAGTGTTCTGTGTTCCATCAACAAGTGTTCTTTTTCCCATATCAGTGTTCCATCAGTTCCATCATCAGTGTTCTTGTGTTCCATCATCAAGTGTTCATTGCTGTTCCATCAAGTGTTCATGTGTTCCATCACAAGTGTTCATTGTGTTCCATCAAGTGTTCTGTGTTCCATCAACAAGTGTTCTTGTGTTCCATCATCAAGTGTTCTTGTGTTCCATCAAGTGTTCATGTGTTCCATCACAAGTGTTCATTGTGTTCCATCAACAAGTGTTCTTGTGTTCCACATCAAGTGTTCTTTGTGTTCCATCAAGTGTTCATGTGTTCCATCAACAAGTGTTCTTGTGTTCCATCATCAAGTGTTCTTGTGTTCCACCATCAAGTGTTCTGTGTTCCATCAAGTGTTCATGTGTTCCATCATCAAGTGTTCTTGTGTTCCATCAAAGGGGTTCAACAAGTGTTCATGTGTTCCATAAAAGTGTTCATGTGTTCCATCAAGTGTTCTGTGTTCCATCAATCAAGTGTTCTTGTGTTCCATCAACAAGTGTTCATGTGTTCCATCAACAAGTGTTCATGTGTTCCATCAACAAGTGTTCATTGTTCCATCATCAAGTGTTCATGTGTTCCATCAACAAGTGTTCATGTGTTCCATCAACAAGTGTTCATGTGTTCCATCAACAAGTGTTCATGTGTTCCATCAATCAAGTGTTCATTGTGTTCCCATCAAGTGTTCATGTGTTCCATCAAGTGTTCATGTGTTCCATCAACAAGTGTTCATGTGTTCCATCACAAGTGTCTTGTGTCCATCAAGTGTTCTGTGTTCCACATCAAGTGTTCATGTGTTCCACATCAAGTGTTCTTGTGTTCCATCAACAAGTGTTCTTGTGTTCCATCAACAAGTGTTCTTGTGTTCCATCAACAAGTGTTCTGTGTTCCATCAAGTGTTCATGTGTTCCATCAACAAGTGTTCATGTGTTCCATCAATCAAGTGTTCTGTGTTCCATCATCAAGTTTCTTTTCCCATAGTGTTCTTCCATCAACAAGTGTTCTTGTGTTCCATCAACAAGTGTTCATGTGTTCCATCAAAGTGTTCATGTGTTCCATCAACAAGTGTTCATGTTTGTTTCCATCA